GGGGGGGCTCTTGCGCGTGTTTGACAAAGAAAGACGTAGAAGTTGAAAGTTCCATTTGACAAATAGATAGAAAAGTTAATTTATAATCTCCAAATCAAGGGATGGAGAGATACAAAATTCACAGTTTTCACAACCATTAGCTTGGTGAAGCATTTCTGCCTTCAATAATTATGGTTGGTTGTGCAATACTTGTTCCATATTCATTCATTCATGCAAATGTATGAACAGGACAACTCATTATCACAATGTCTATTTTCTTTAATTCATGTTAAAAATGTGGATGATTAATATCCACAAACTTCATCGACTTAACAGATTACGAGAAATAAATATAACGTCGATTGTTGGTAATGAATTATAATTTTTTAGCACCAAAAAGGAAAGCAGCATAAGATAAGAAGAATAGTTTTCGGGGATTAAACTTACAGGAATGAGAAAAGGAGAACAATTCTTCTTGAATTAAAAGATGCAGAGCGCTTGTATTTTCTGAGTTTGTTGCTAGATGCATCATATACTTTCTCGGTCAAACATTTATCTGCCATATAAATCAAGAATCACTTATAAAGTTTTCATCTCAGTAGTACAACAGTATAACTTAAGTGCTCTTTATCATACGGAAACTATCAACTACTTAATGATAATAGAAGATAGGATGACTACTGATAACTACTGATGCTGACTAATCATAGCAGTTGCAAAGCCAACTTCAGTGTCAAGTATATTAGATAATACATCATGGTAAAACACATGTTTAGATTAATAGACTAGAAATAACAAGTTATAAGTCTGGGAAAACCATCAAGCATTCTCATCCATAAAGAAGTCTTCAGGTAATAAAAAGAGCAGATTTATGGGGAGCACTTCATGCACATGGTAAGCCAATTTTATTTCAATTTGAAATATTGAAATGGTAATTGATTGGGTGACAATGCTTTACAGCGTTCCCCAGTGCGACTGCAAGAAGAGCTTTAGCAAGTGGATTTCAAAGGATGCACTAGTCGCCTTTCAGAACTCTATTGATAACAGGGGAAAAGGACAAACATTAGGTGCTTGACTACAGATTTTGGAGTAGGTTAGAGTGGTAAGTTTTGGCTTTCGCATAACTAAGGAGGAAAATAATTGAAATTATAACCTAATAGAACACTTGCATGTCATTATGGTACTTCTTATTGCCACTCATGCTATTATTATCAACTTCAGAGACCTGATAGTTGGAAAATGAAGCAGCATGGATCACAGAAGGAGTTGTCCACAAGTACGCTGTAAAGCTATTTCTGGAGAACCACTAATTCTTAGAGAATCTTATCTTTTTAATCAACATGTAACACAATTACGAAAATTAGATACTGTTACATGCTTCAGTTATTTCACGAAAGAGCAACCAGATCTGTCATACTCCTGAAGAAATAGTTTTTGGTTTTGAATATTTTTGGAACATTAGTTAAATATTTATATATAGGAGTGAAGATCTAGGAAGATGCCCTAACAATATTCAAGCTCATTAGAAGCATCCAGTTGACTTCAGTCAATTTGGTCAAAATGTGTTTTAGAATATCGCAAAGAGAAATGTAGAGGGGGAAGAACAGTCCTCATCTAAAACAAAATTCATCTGGAAAATGAATATCAGAGTGATTGCAGAAGAACGTCTACCTTTACAAGCAAATTTGGGCAACTCAACACTGTGATTCATCAGGAGTTGCATGAACTTTCCTCCCATCAGTGATGCAATTTCTCTCTGCAACATCCTCTGAAATGCAATTGATATGTCAAAGTTTGGCATTACATTTGACGAAATACTAAATTAGAGATCAAAATAATACCATATAAGAAAAGAAGCCCTGTAGGAAAAATCCTTTTGATATGCAAAATATAATGTCCTCACATGTGATTATGGCGAAATTGTTAAATTCATTAAAAGAACTTACAGCTATACAATCATCCGTCTTCACATTCCCACCCATTTCCTGAATGGATTTAGGTGCCTCAGATTTTCCTTTCTCAGTATCTATATCCAAAATATATGAGCCATCAACATCTGTGCTACCGTTCTTCAGGTTGGCATGGTTTCGGCCATTTGATTCGGCATCCATTGAGATTGGCGTCTTCACAAAATTTAGATTGGATAGGTTTACCATGTCTAAATGTGATTCACACAGAGGGCCTGTGGTTCCTTCAGCCAGTAATTCTACAACATTCAGGGAATCTTGGCTTTGCTGAAAAATAGAAAGAGTTATTGCGATTTCAGTGCCCTAAATTAAAGAATTCGAAGAGATTACTAAATAAATAGAGAAGCAGATATGATAATGAACTAGCATCCCAAATGTGAGCTTTAAGTTCTCATTATTCGGGAAAAAGAGTTTGGGAAAAAAAAAAATCGGAAATAAATAATTCTGGTGATACGGAAAAGCTCAGATAAAAGGTAGCAGGTGCAAACAAAATATTACCTATTGCCTAAAGGAAGATAACAACACATACGATCATAGTATGGATCTTCTTGCTGTTTGGATGAGGGACTTTGTTACACTAAAATGATATCTTAGTATTAAAAGGTTTAAGCCGCAATAGCCCAGGATGATTGTTCATTGCCACATTACAGTTTACCTTACACGGACCAAGCTGGAAGTTGATTCAGTTCAGGTCGTTCAGAGAAAATGTGACAGCAAATGCCATACTAAGAAAGGATATGGGAAACAAGGTCATCTTATTAACCCTTGAAAGCAGAAATGAGGTTCACCTTCAATTGTGTTATGCAAATCCTAATACGATTTTAAGAACTGAGCTGCCACCAAGAGATCTTTAATTCTGATTCTAAATCAACTCTATAATATTTTACTAATCTCACTGCCATCACCAATAAGATACAAAATGGGCATTCTACCTTTGACAAGAAAATATGGGGAATTACTAAGTAGAAAGATCTTGTTAAGAAACCCAGAGCTATGATACTTAAGTCTGCTGCTAAAGTAGACAGACGTGTTAAGAAACACAGAGCTATAATAGATAATTCTGCCGCTACCCTTGTTCATCTCATAGAATGAACCCTCTCTTATAAGCACAAGATACAAAACAAATAAATATTTCACTTCAAATCAAAAGATTTGCCAATCAAATGTTCGCTTCAATGGTCCCTACTTTCAGCAATGACAAAAGCATCAGAATGTAGCATTTTAACTTAATGCCAGCGCGTATTAGATAGTGACAGAACATAAAACAAAACAAATAGAACTACACAAGAAAGAATATCTAGAGACAGAGACAAAAAAATTTAACTTTTTCACTACTCAATTAATGCAAGAAAACCATCAAAGCATAGATAAAATACTAAAAACTGAAAAATCTCCGGTAGTGTCTAAAGACTGTTTAATGCTGAATGTAGTCTAGGGAATAGTAACTGGACTCAATTTAAGACCTCCACTTTGCTGATGAAAGAAGAAAAAGAATAAAGGATTTTTTTTAATGACAGTGGTGTCCGCGCCAACTTGTGCGCACCTCAACTATTTTACCGAATACCTGCTACCTTCCACCAGCACATGTACCAGGTAACTCCCACCAAAGCTTAGACATATAGGAAGAAAAAGTATCTTCTTGTAAATAGAAAATAAAAGTTCCTTCAAAGACATATCTAACTCTAAAATGCAATCACACAATATTATGATAATAAACTTTCATATCTCCAACTATATCTGAAAAAATTTCTTCAGAAAATAAAATATGCCACTGGAATGACTGTGACAAACATTTTGGCACTACATGCACATCGAATTTGTATTCACAACACATTGCAGTGAACTCAGTCTAAAACATCAAACAACAGGTTGAATGAATTACAGAGCCAAATTCCACCAGAAAAACACACAAATAAATATCCGAATCACAAAACAATGAGAACATCAAAATGCAGCTTAATATACACCACAAAAAAAGGGAAACAAAACTAAAAAGAGAACATCTCAATAGATCCAACTGTCACATTACCGCTTGTACTACTTGCAAAAACTTTTATCTTCATAATTTCTACAGAAATGGCAGTTATAAACATTTAACCCACTGTACAAATGGCAGATTCAAGGACCGCAATGAACTCGGTTTTCGCATTTACAAGCAGATCAATTGCATCAGGGAACACATAATTCCTTACAAAAATTTAAATAAAAAAACGAACCACAAAAAATACGAAGCAGCTTGCAATAAAGAGAAGAAAAAATAAGAAAGAAAAAACACAATTGACTCAAATATCGCAATCATTCTCACTGTTTGAGAAAGTCGTATCTTCACAATTTCTACAAAAATGACAGTTAACATTTAACTGTCCGCAAATGAACTCAGATTAGACATCCATAAAGAGATTAATTGCAATACGCGAACTAGAATTCCATTAATAATCAAAATGCGAACCAGAAAACAACGAGAACAGCACAATGCAGCTTACATTACTGAATAAAACCCGCAACAAAAGCTCAATTGATTCAAATAACACATCACTATTTTAACAAAGCTCAATTGATTCAAATAAAGCATCATAACGTTCACCGAAGCCTCTCACCTCTTCGCTCGAATTCACCGCCATTCTTACAAGCGAAAACACAGATTTCGACTGCTCTATTTCCCCAACTGCATTGTGGTGTGTGTGGTGTGCGTGTTGTGTGTGTGCAAATATTCGTGTATAAATCCGGGGAGAGAGAGAGGGGGTAGGTTTTTTGGTTTG